AGGCCTCACCCGGCCCGAGAGCCTCGACTGGCGGCTGTATGGTGAGGAGGGAGCCGGTGGCACCGGCACGCAAGCCCGGAGGGTGCAGGATGGGCACCCCGGGGTTTGCTTGGGGACGGCCGACATCCTCCGCTGCTCTGTTAAACGTGTCCCCATCCCGCTGTCCCCCAGGCGCCGTCACCCCCGTGAAGGACCAGGCTGTCTGCGGGTCCTGCTGGAGCTTCGCCACGACGGGCGCGATGGAGGGTGCCCTCTTCCTCAAGGTGAGAGCGGGGCCGTGCGCCGTAGGGATGACCTGGATGGTGCCCGTCCCCATCCCTACAGCGTGTCCGTCCCCCCCCCGCAGACCGGCGTGCTGACCCCCCTGTCCCAACAAGTCCTCATCGACTGCTCCTGGGGCTTCGGGAACTACGCCTGCGATGGGGGCGAGGAGTGGCGAGCCTACGAGTGGATCAAGAAACACGGCGGCATCGCCAGCACCGAGTCCTACGGCACCTACAAGGGACAGGTAAGGAAAGGGGTGGCCCCGTGTCCCTGCCGGGGTCCCCCAGGTCTTGGGATGTGCTCCCCGGGCCTGGTTTTAAAGCCACGGTGGGGTGATCAGGATCGATCGGAGGTGCTAAGAGGCTCCGGAGATGGGGACGTCACCTCCTTCCCAAGGCACCAGGTTCCCCGTGGTTCGAAGCGCGGTGCCAAGCCGAGCCCCAGGGCTCCGCCGGGCGGTTTCATCACCGCGTGCCTCAGTTTCTCCTCTTGCAAAACAGGGACAAGGGCTCCTCCACCCATGGGTGGTGCCACGGGTCCCTCCGTCCCCTGGGGTGCAGGGATGGAGCAGGGCTGCCCCGGGGACAGGGACGTGACCGCAAGACGCAGGCAACAGCCCCCCCCAGGGCTTTGGGTGCAGAGCCAGCTCCCCGCCCCGCGTGCGGGCAACGCTGTATCCCTGCAGCAACCAGGAAAACATCCCCACCGCGGTGGGCAAGGGAGGACAGAGGGACCAGAGCCGGGATGCTGTCAGAGCCCGAGTCCCAGATCACTCCCTGCATCAGAGCAGAGTCGCACGGGGACAGCCACGGTGGGCAGGACACCAGCGAGGGGACCCGGGGGGCTCCGGATGATGTAGTGCGTGTGTCTCCCTCCCTCCTGGGTGTCGCAGAACGGTTTGTGCCACTACAACCAGTCTGAGATGCTGGCCAAGATCACGGGCTACGTCAACGTCACCTCGGGGAACATCACGGCCGTCAAAGCTGCCATCTACACCCATCCTGGCCTGATGGGACACAGCCCCATGTGCGCCCTGTCCCCTCCATGTCCCCCTGGGCGGCTCCAGGTGGATGAGGGGCTGGCAGAGGGATGCGGGGCCCTGGGAGATGGTTGTGGGGCAGAGGGGGGCAGCTCCGCTGGGAGGTTGGAGGATGCTCCCAACCCTCCGGAGAGGAATTTTACCGTTTTGGCAATAAAAGCCTGTAGAAGTGATCCTGTCCGCCATGTTGAGGTGTCTTCTGCCTCCCCAGCCAGTCCCCCAGCAAGCACAGCCTTTGCCATTTCTACCTTCTGCAGCCCTCTGTGTGATGAGTTTCACCCAGTGCTCAGCCCAGGCTCACCCCTCTTTGGGTAACTGTGTCCTAACCCCCGAGTTTTCAATGCCACCCCCAGAAGTGCTGGAACCCCCTTCCCCAGCAGCGGGAGGGAGCCCGAATCCACTCTCTGGGCTCAGAGCTCTCCTGTTCCCAACCGGACTCTGCCCCATGCCGGCACTCGGCATCACACCGGGGACAAGGGAGCTGCCCCTGCCAGAGAGAGTGGTCCCCAGCGCCCAGCATCTCTTGGGACATCTGGGTCCTCTCCTCAGCCTCCCTCCAGGCTCCTACACGGGTCAGTGCTTGGTGACTCAGTTTCTCCACCCGTCTGGGGGGAACGCAGAGCTTCTGGGGGTTTCCACACTGCTGCCGCCAGGATGGAGGGAGCCCAAATGGACCCCAAGTTCGTTTCACCCAGGACGTTTCCGGGGGTTTTTGCCCAACCTCCTGGGGAGCAGCCGGGCTCAGAGCTGTCGTGCTCCTCTCATCTCCCCTTGTTCCAGCGCTTTACCCCAAACCTACACAGTCACGGGGAATCCCGACGGAGAGCCGAGGGTTTGGCGGGGTCAGTGCTGCTCTTGGGGTGTCCAGGCTGGATACCAGCACGGTGTGAAGGTTCATTCTGGGGACTCTGGTGCCCTGCTCACCTCCACCCCAGGGATGGAGCCGGGCAGGCAGCACGGGTGGACAGCCCAGAGCTCCCAGGCGGGAGCTGTTGGCACTGCCAAGCTCTGCCTTCCCAATTTGCCCAATTAACAGCCAGGCAGGTGGGGCGAGGAGCCTACAAAAGGGGGAAAAACTCAGCCCTGGCTCATATCAGCGTGTGCGCAGGCTGCATCTTCCCCCAAAATGGGTTTCTGGCAGCTGAGAAGTGATGTCCCGCCATGGCTACACCCCTATTTTTGGGTAGCAAACGGCGGGGCTCAGCCGCCGTCTTTCCTCGCCGCGAGCACCCAAGGAGCAGCGCTTCCTTCCAGGCGACGTGATTGCTCCCGCTTGAGGGTGGCAGGTCATAATATTTTCTTGTTTTCTTTCGCTTTGTTCACCTGCTTATTTTACAATTTGCCGCACTGATTTCTGAAGTGGTCTTTAATCATTCTCAGCAGGGGCGCTGACTCGAATTCGCGTCTGGGAGAGAAACCATCACCGCGCAGGAATAATGGGGTTTATTCTGTGGGAGTCCAGGTCTCCAGATCTTTGATTCTCTTGACTGCAGTCAATAAAACATGCTTTGACTTTCAGGGAACCGTGACTTTCAGGCTGCCTTTGGATAGGTGATGTTCTGAATTTGCTGCCGAACACGCAGGTGGCTCGGAGAGCTGGAGGTTTCGCACCCCCAGGATGCATTTAGCAGGAGGCTGAAATTTTGCATTCGTGGCATTAGGGAGAGCAGTTCTGAGCGTGGGTAGTTAAGGATGGCTGGGAAATTAAAAAAAAAAAAAAGAAATTAAAAAAAAAATAATCTATTTATTCTGTTTGAAAAAGGAGAAAATACGAAAGGACGTACCTGAGGAGAGGTTTGCGGTTCCCAGAGCCAGCCCTGGGTTCTGGCTCCCAGCCCGGCTGAGCTGCGACCTCCAGACTTCCCTCGACACCCGAACCTCCGAGTCGCTTCAGGTTTTGCCGAGCGCAGCAAAGAACAACCACCCTGGACCCGGTGTTTTATTGAAAGCAAAGCTGGCCTAAAGGCGCGCATTTAAGGTTTCCTGTGGAAGAGGCACGTGTCCTGCAGAGCTGGCAAGCTGGAAACGCTGGGTTAGGTGGGAAACTCCCCAAATCTGATACCGAGATGGTGAAATATCAGCTGAGGTTGGTGCTTTATGGGCAGTGAGAGCACTTCCCGGAGAGTGAAAGCCAAGATTTGGCACCTACCTCCCATATGACCCCTTGAGAATACCATCTCCTTCTTGGTCTGCAGGGTGACGCAGTTCAAGATGTCTCCAGAGGTCAGCTCCACTCTGAAAGCACAGGACTGGAGGCAGTCCTTGGTGGCCAGCTTCCAGTCCTGCGCCCTGTCCTCTACTCGGTATTTCTCGTGGCCCTCTCTCACCTTCAGGGTCTCCTCCTTGTTCAGCCACCCCTTCTTGGCATCTGCCCACCAAGAAGTTGGTGCTCAGGTGCTTGTAACTGGGCACAGGTAATGGCTGCCTGCAAATGGATCCCTTTAGAGGCAGTCCAAGCTGATGGTGGCTTTCATGCTGGAGGTGAGAGTCCCTTTGGCCACCTCGTAGGCTTTCCTGGGCCTCCAAACAGCTCATCCGCCCCGCCTGATGCTCTCTTGATGCTTCTTTAAGAATTCATCCACGAAGACGCTCACCAAATGGTTGTCAAAGTCACGGCCTCCCAGGTGAGGAGGTGACTGTTGAGGTTCCCCTCAACAACATCCCTGTCTATGGTGAAGATGGAGATGCTGATGCCCCTCCCGGCCCGTATGAACGATGAGGACATGGCGTTCTCCTTCAGGGCGATGGAGGCTGTAGACCAGAGCTGCTGACGTCGTCTCATTGAGGACCAGTGGCGCTCAGCAACTACCCAACATCTTTGGTGGCCTGGTTCTGGGAGCGGCTGAGATAAGTTGGCAGAGTGACCATCGCTCCTCCTGCTTGCCCCGGGGCAATTCATCCCCTGGGATGGGGATGGGAACTTTGGGGCGATCCCGGCTCTACGCTGGGCTCCGACCCACCCCCTCTCGCAGGGCCCTGCGCCGGCCAGGACACGGGGAGCGAGCCGAGACAGCGCACAACGCCGCAAACAGCTCCCGAGAGGTGTTTTTGTTTCCAGTGAAACGGCCTTTCTGTGGGTGAAAGCATCCAGATCGGCGGGATCAATCTGTCCACACATCCCGAAATTCAGGGTGGGCTGAGTTTGCCAAGCTCAATTATTCTCCGAGGAAGGGCGGCTGGGATTTCAGCTGCGTTTGGGGTTGGTTGTTGGGTTGTTTTTTTTTTTCCACCCTGCCCTCGGCTGTCCTGGATACGGCGCTTCCCTCCGGAGGCAGCTGCGCTCCAGCGCAGACCTCTGTGCAGCAATGCCAGGTGGCCAGAAAATGTGCTCCAGCCCCAAAACTGGCTGCCTTTCAGCGCTGGATGAATTATCTGTGAAAACCTCTTACGGCTCACACAAAACAAGGTAATTATTCAGAAAGCAGGGGACATGGAGAGAGCCAGAATATGAAAATATTATCTGTTAGTGATTTACAGAGAACCACAGACGGTGTCAAAGAACAGCAGCTGAATCAAACTTGCTTTGGCAACTTCTTGGCTTCCAAACGTTCCAGATGACCCAGAGGGGCTGATCATGAGCTCCCAACACCACTGCGACACCCTGGGGAAGGGGGTCTGGGTCTCCGGAGACGGGTCAGGACAGAGCCGGGCGGTTCACAGAGGAAAAAGACATGTGTTGCAGAGCCCTGAGGTTTTAGGACGGCAAAGAGTATGATCCAGGGGGAGGCCATCCCACTTTTGCTGTCTAATACCGTAACTGGAGCTTTTCTGGGGTACAAATGGCTGCATCCAGCATGATCTGAACGGTTTTCCAAGCTCTGCAAAGCTATAAACTGCTTTGCTGCTAGCGAGGCTATCCTGGAAAATCACTGAGGCAGTGGCTTTTTAAACGTTTCTTATTACACTTCCTTCGGTAGCGGCTTTACAAACGCTCTTAGCCAAATGTTTTTCCCTTGGCGACTGTGACTGCTCTGGCAGGTTTGTCGTTCACGTTCTCAAACGAAATCATTCCTTTTCCTTCAGCTCAAGAGATTTGCACCACCACCACCACCACCCCACCCCACCCCCCCCATGACTTTTTAGGCGGTTTTATTTCTTGTAACAAATCGCTGGCGGCGTTTACGTTTTCCAGGTGCGCTGTCAAACCCCAGAAAAGCCGGGCAGCCCCAGCCCTCCACCTCCGCCTGATTTCTCCCAGAACCTCTCCTCGGAGCATCGCGGCCCCAAAGCAGCGAGGAGGGTTTTGTTTAAAGCCATCCGCCGCCTCTGCCAAGCTCTGCCTTCTGCTTTCACCGACTGATATTTCCCAATCACAATCTAGCATCCAGCACAATGCAACGAATTTCATGAAATTAAGTATTTCTCCTACACACAGCATATTTGCCCGGTGATTATAACTAGTCCCCGAGGTAGCCAAGCACAGCAGAATTTCAGTTTAATATGCACACCCACGCAGCCTTACTAAAAACCCAAGACACTCCCCCGGTCCTTCTTGGGAAAGACTGAGCGCTGCAGTGAGCATCTCATATTTCAGCTTCACCACTTGCACAAGCTCAGACTGGGAATACTCTGTCATCTGTTGTTTTGTTTTTTTTTTTCTTTAAAAAAAAAAAATGGGGAAAGAAGTTTCCCAAAGATTTCAAGGCATCCCTGATGGTCTGAGGGAGAGAAGGGTGTAAGAATGTCAGGCAACACAGGCACAAAAGGGACACGATCACACTGCTGTGGGTTTATTAGCACAACCCTGAGTAGTTACTGCCTTTTGTTCACTTGATCTTGGATCCACAGTGTGACCTTTTAACTCCAAAATGCTTTAATTCCCCCATTTGTTCGGGTAGGCAGCACAGATGCAAGCTCACAGCACCTGTTCTGTGTCACATAGTAAAAAAAAAAAAAAAAAAAAAAGACAACTACTTAATGAAAAAAAATGAGCAATTATTGAGTGTGTGTGCAGTGTACAATTTGCCCTTGCTGCAGCGACTGGAGTCCAACCGCATACCTGAAACGAAACGGGGAAAATCTCCCCAGCGTCTGGCGCCGCCAACTCCAGCACCCAAGCTGAGGTGTAAACACAAGCCAGCTGCAATTTGCAGTGCTGACCCTGCCCCAAACCCGAGGCAGATCCACCCATGCAAATCACAGTCTTGGCTGTGCTTGGGACTTGCAGATGAGCAGCTGCCCTAGCAGCGGGCCGGCAGCTGCCGGAGTCGGAGCAAAGAGGGAAACAAGTTCACGAGAAGGTTTTCCTTTCGCTGCAGACACTACCTCCTACCTGCTTCTCCCTTCCTTTTCCTCCAATTCAAAAAAAACCTTTGAGACACAGTTTTCCCTCTGCCCCGGCTCTGCCTCCAATCTTTCCAGCCCACCCATGTGGCTCTGCTCCCCCCCGCCAGGTCCACTCTGAAAGTGGAAACACCCACTCCTCCCCACAGTATTCTGCTCCCTTCTTTCCTCCGGGCCCGACTCTCCTTCACCCACCTCTGCAGAGGCCTACCCCTCCCTCCAGCAGCTCCTCACCTCCCTGGCCCCCTCACCCTGCCCTAATCTAGCCCATCTTCCTCCTCCTCCGGGCCTGTATGTCCCCCTCACCCTGTCCTCCCCTAACACACACCACCTACAGATCTTCACATGGGTGCCACCCTCCTCCATCACCCCTCCCCCAGCCTCGGCCTGGCCCAGCTCTGCCCCTGCCCTCGCTCCAGCCCTGGCCCAGCTCTGCCCCTTCCCTCGCCCCAGCCCTGGCCCAGCTCAGCCCCTTCACTTACCCCAGGCCTGGCCCAGCTCTGCCCCTTCACTTGCCCCAGCTCAGCCCCTTCACTTACCCCAGACCTGGCCCAGCTCAACCCCTTCCCTTCCCCAGGCCTGGCCCAGTTCAGCCCTTTCCCTCAACACTGGCCCAGCTAAGTCCTTTCCCTTCCCCAGGCCTGGCTCAGCTCGGCCCCTTTCCTCAACCCTGGTCCGGCTCAGCCCCTTCCCTCGGCCCAAGCCAGGCCCAGCCCGGCCCCCTCCCTCAACCCCAGCCCAACTCAGCCCTTTCCCCCTTCCTTTCCCTTCCCTCAAGCCCGGCCCAGCTCGGCCCCAGCCCGAGTCAGCCCCTTCCTCTCCCCCGGCCCTGCCCCACTTCCGGGTTCCCTCCCGCAAGGCCTTGTGGGACGGCTCTCTCCTCTCCCACCTCCAACCCCTGCGCGATCTCGCGCGACCTCCCCAGCGCCGCGCGCGCCCCCGGGGATGCGTCACGCGGAGGGGGCGGAGAGGGCGGTTGCATCACCGCGCAGCGCTCCGCGCGTGACGTCAACGCTTCCCCAACGCCCGCGGAGGGGCAGGGCGGGGGGAGGAGGAGGCACC